TTAATGATCAATTATTAAACTTAGATGATATTTACAGACTTTGTCATTAAGATTTTCTAAATCTAATAAAAATGAATCTTCAATATATAATTCTTGATAAATAATTTTTAATTATCTAAAAATTAAAAATTAGCTTCATTTATTCCATAAACTGGACCTATTTTATTTGCTTGTTCTTCTATTATTAATTGTTTATTTAAATGAAAAAGACTTTTTTGTATTAACAACAAATGTCAATACATATTCAGTTGTAAGTCCATCTGGCATTAGAATCTCAAGAAAATCATATGCATAAATATCCATAATAGTGGGTGTGTTCTTCTTTACATCCACACCCACCCACAACGACGCATATGTGTAGATAAAATTACTGTTAGTCATTGAAAATTTTCAGCCGAAGAAATTCCATTTTGCCAGTTCTGCTTCGATGAGTCGAACGCATTGACCAAGTCCATCTTCATTCTTAATTAATCCACTTCTTTTTTTCGCATTCATTTGATACATGCTGTAGTTGCGATTGATAAGATCATGAATAGCATTGGTCAAATTTTTCACATTGGTCTTAGCCATTGGAATATGTCTTGGTGCTAATTTGTTGATAAATATTCGATCGCCATGGAATGGTTGATCAACTACGAAAGGTAATATTAATGTGGGTAAGCCATATCGTAGACTTGCATGTGTAGTGCCGACACATTCAAAAATAATCAACTATGGGGTATAATTTGTTTTAAATAGAATATATTATCAGTATTGGATAAGTTATTGATATCGATTTGTTGATAACCAACAAGTGATATAACTGCTTTACAATTATTATTTTCAAAAGCCGCTTGAATATTATTTAGAAATTGTATTTGTTCATTATTTCCGAGCATCGCACCCATCATTGATCCAAGATCAACAAAGATGATCTTTTCGCTTTTCCATTTGTTGAAAAAGTCGAGAAGAGAAGGTGATGGTTCGAAATTATGATGATCCTCGTCGAGAATTGGATCGACCATATGATCATTTTCTTGCCAATCGGTCGGACGTGCAATTAAATGTTTTGAGTAGATTGTTGCAATTGTCATTGGCTTCTTTATGGTGGCTTAAATCATCTGATAATAATTCAATTTAAGCGGTGGTAAATTGATACTGCTACGAAGTTCATCGAGTTTTTCACGATAATAGAAAATGTTCATTTCTAGAAGTTTTCTAAGCAACATATGTTCAAATTACACCAAAGTGTAGCCTGAAGAGTGGTGTATTCCCTATGTAATTATTCGAGTATTTCATCTTCACTCTGGACTCATGCGTTAAGGAAAATTTTCTGAAATCTAAAAATTTTAAGGATAATACGGCTTACTTTGAGCTATATTTTGATGTAATTTGAGCATAGGTTGCTAAGAAAACTTGTAGAAATGTGCAATGGAAAAAGTGTTCACTTGCAAATATTCTTGAAAAACTTCCTGAAACTTAATGGATAATACATAGATAGATGCTCCAACATTGTTCTATTTAATGGAGAAAACCCGATGTTGATAGCTAGAAACCATCGAAAGCTATTCAAAAAATAGTGATTGACATTTAAAAACAATTTCAACAACAGATTTTTTTAAAATAATTTCTTGTCATTTGTGTTTAAAGATAATCGGATTATATTATATAAACATATTCCCTAATAAAACATTTTTCTAATTAATCTATTGCATATACCGATAAATTAATTTTTCTGCTTTAATATTAAGAAATATTGCTCATCATGTCCTTCAAAACTTCATCATCTGATTACATCGAAAGATTAAAATCAATAGAAAAAAATATATATCAGTTTGTTAGTCTGCTTTTGATGATTATTGGCAGTGTGAGTTGTATCATCAAGTTAATTGTACTTACGAAAAAACTGTGTACAATCTATTTGATGCTTCTTTACTGTATTTAAAATTTTCGACTGATTTATTCATGCATACTATCTATGATAGGCCCAGTCGATTATGCTAAATTTACTTGATAAACTAGGAACTTTTTTTGTTGCTTATGTATGTATGCATCCTTTCTACTATATTGTTTAAGTACAGAATATCTGTCCATGATTTCGATCAGTCAAGTTTTGATAAGTTCATCAGTTACTTTAGTAAGACAACGAGATAACTATCATTTTTCTTTTAAATGACTTAATTATGTGTTCATTTTTGAGCAGTTAGATTAGAGAAAACAATGAGTCATCAATGTCAAAAACATAAGAAACACGAATAAAATGAATTCATATGAATAAAAGTTAGATTTCTAATGATAATTAACTTTCATATTGTGTGTCTTTTGTTGCTATTAATATAGGTACTGGCATTGATTTGTTTGAATGATGTTCGTTGTTGATGAATACCTTCAATTTCGAGAAGTATATTAATCCAACACAATTCTAGCTTCTCCATCTCATTGAAGGGTTTAGGATATTGATTGAATCTTGAAATATGTTGCCCATCAATCTACATTTAATAACTGGACTGTAATTTAGTTTTAGTCAGAACAATATGAATCCATCGATCACCAATTTCTACACATTTTTCATTGTCGAAATGATATTTTTCATCAGCGTCGAACAGGGTGTGGGTGTACCACGAGAGCAGATAAGATCCACGCACGTACACTCACATCCACACCCTCCGCGGTGAGAATCCTGGAAATTTTAAGTAAACATATATTGAATTGCCTCATTAGATCAGTTGAATTAGACTTAAATATAACTCTACATGGCATAACTTAAGGGGATCATTTGATGATACTTCTTGTTAGGTCAAAACTGCCTTATTTTCTTCGCCCAAGCCGACGTAATGCTGAAGCTGGGTTGACAATAGACTTCATCAATTAGAACTTTGAAAGGGAACATGTCGTCTTCGGACATTTTTGAGCTGGTTTGATCTGCTCAACAAAAAAAAACAAGAAGAAACATTTCTAAAAGATAAATGATAGTATTTGTTTTGAGAATTGTTTGAGTAGATCATTTTTACTCGATGTACTTTTTGATGTGTGATCAACTATTGGTGTCGCATGTTGCACTGTTGTATTTTCTAAAGCAACAAAATCTTATAGCCAAGTGCATGATGAAACAAAATGAAAGTTATGTAAAACTTGTTCAACTTTTTCTGAGTAACTTAAAACAGACGTGACCTTGATTTTATTTTTAGACTTGCTTCGCAATTTGTTAGCATCTAAATTGACATCTGATTTTTAGTTTTTACTGTAAGACAGCTGAATTGTTTTTTTTTTAAAGTTCTATTAAAAATTAATTGTAAATCTCAGATACTTGAGTAACCTTTGCTTATGAAATGTACGAATGAGAACTAACAAAGTTAGATTATGTGTTCTTTTCAAAATGGAAAAACAAAAGTCAAGAATATTATTAAAGAATAATTCGTCATCTGTTGAAATTTCAATGAACAATTTACATAATACATAAAATAAAACAGAAATTGATTTTCACCAGCAAAAATCTTGACATTCGCTTTCACAAGTAGCTATTCTGATTTTCCTTCAAAGAGTGAAGTACAAACAAATATTTTTCAGTGTAAAATGACTTTATTTCTTCTTAGATTGTTTTTCTATTTTATTTTTTTGTAAACATTTTTTCATTTTTCATTTACTTCTTTAGTTGCTGTTCAGCCTGGAAAACTTACGCGTTCGATAAACTTCCTACTTTTCCAGGATTAAAGTCTCGTTAGAAAACTTAAAGCGCTTTCCATTATATAAAAATGTAAAACAAAAAAACTTCTCAACTAGTTTCCATTCATGTAGGAAAAGTTAGAATTGAAAACAAACTGAATTGTACAGAGAAAAAATACTACAAGATCTATCTTTTTTATATATATAATTAGAACAATTCCACAATTGATGCACATTTTTTACACTGTTCAGAAATTCTTTTGTTAAATTTTTTCAGACGAAGTAAATGTAATCGGACTTTTAGTTTCAGATTCTATTCAGAATGCTGTTTGTGCATCCATTTTAGAACAGTAATACATTGACTGTCTTTCTATGAATCATCATTCAATAAAACAGTTTCTATGTAACATAAATAAACCAATCTGATATCGTTTCTTGAGCCTCTGTAGTGGTGTCCATGTTTTCTCTTAATTCATTAGAGTGTCTTAAACGGTGCCCACAAGCACCAATAAAACAAAACTTTGTTCTTCTCCAGTAAATTTTCTTATTTATCATGGTTTGTATTTGATTTAGCAATTTTATATTAGTAAAGAGTACAAAAAACAAATACTTTAGCGAAATTACATTAGTAAATTCGAAATTCTTATCTCTGTAGATCAATAAATAGAAGAAAAATTGCTAAAAGACAAAAAGAAATTTTATATGACTTCATATATTGATGCATCTTCGCCAACGGGAAATGGTCGTCGAATAAAAGTACTTAGTACAGATTTAATATTTAGTGGTGTTGATAATATTTTTGTTTATCCATCACTTGACGTTGATCGATTACGAGATGCTCTTAGCCGTACACTGTCATTTTGGCCAATTTTAACTGGTCGTATAATTGTTGAAAGTGATGACCAATACTTTATTGAATTTTCCGATAATTCTATTCCATTTACATATAATGAAAACGATGAACTTGAACGATGGCCGCCAGATCTTCCTGTTGTAGTCGATGATATGAAATTAATTCGACCATTTATTGATTCAACTCAATATAAACCTGAAATAGAACCACTTCTGCGATTTAAAGTAACACATTTACTTCGTAGTGATGAATATATTCTTGGTACAAGTTTTTGTCATATGATTGGTGATGCAAATTCAATTGTTCATTTTCATAATGATCTTTCACAAACTTATCAAAATCTTGAACCTATTTTTTCTCTTCCAATTTTTGAACGACATTTATTAAACAAAGAGGATCCTGATTTTACTTTATTACCTGTTTTGAAACTATATCGAAATACAGATAAAAAAGAAATTATCTTAGCTCGTCTTGCAAAAGAATCTACAGAAACTGATGCTATTAATATGTCATTTTCTTCTGAACAACTTGCTAAATTACATATGCTTGCTGATGATAGTAGTCAAATAACAATACATGATGCACTTTGTGCTTATATTATTTTTTTAATGAATAAATATTTATTTACAAATGAATATGAATATATTCGACGTGCTTATATGTATGTTAATTATCGAGGTGTTAATGATTTGTTGACACCAAAAGGTTATGTAGCTAATGCAATAATGGAACCATTATCTTCAGATTTCCCAAATCCTTGTTCTTTATCAAGTATTGCAAAAACTATTCGACAATTAATTAAAACAATGCGTCAAGAAGATTTTCTTCAAAAATGGGTAACTTCAGCTAATATTTTAATGAGACAATTTAAAAAAGATGGAAATGTTAATTTTGTTTGGGATAAAGATGAAGTTGTATTTAATTCAAATTTTAAATATGATTGGTCTAATCTAGTTGATTTTGGTATGAAAAATCAATGTCGATTTCATACAATAGGAATTTTTAAATATTATTTTAGAATATTTCATTTAAATCCTGTTAAATTAGAAGATGGAAATTGGATTAAAGATAATAGAGGTGCTGAAGTATCTTTTAGAATTCCAAAAGGAGAAATTAAAGAAAAATTTTTGGCAGCTTGGAAAAAAGATGTTCAAGAAAATTTTTTGAATGTGAAATAAATATACGATTTATAATAAATTCCAAAACTTTTTCTTTTTTGTCATAAAAAATTTTTCAAAATGAAAAGGATCAGTTCTCTTTTAATAGACGCTATTTTATTTCGCAAAATACATGAGATTGATAAATTAAAAGAATTCATGCATACCATTAGAAAGTTAATTTTGAAAACGGAAAGAAAATTTATGTCAAATAAAGACTGTTTTATTCAACGGCAAGAACTAAATTTTATAAATTATGACACTGAAAATAAACATATCAACATTATTTTATGCCAGAAACGATGAAATTACTTGTTGTCATTAGATTTTCGATTCGGATTCGTTAATAGAGCAGAAAAAACGTCGATAGTTCATGGTGTTCGAATAAAGCAAAAACGCAGAAAAATTATTCTTTAAAACT